GAGGGAAAAAAGGTGAGTGGTGCGTTGAGGTAATTTTTTTTTTTTTTTTTTTGGGAAAAAAGGATTACCAAACAAGGGGGGAAAAAAGGGTTTTGCACCAGAGAGTTACATTTAAATTTACTTAAAGCAATGTGTGGAAATAATGCAAAAATTCGATCCCAATTTAAAAAAAAGAATACAGATGATTAAAATAAGTCCAAGGTTTTTTATGGGGCCATTTTAAAAACAAAAAATTTAAAAGTTTAATCCCGGGGAAGAACTAGGTTCCCTGAAAGGTTAAAAAGGGGTAAAAGGTTTGGGCAACTTTCCTCCAGCCGCGTCGTGGGGTTTATAAGTTAACTTAAGCGTTTGGAACCTACTTTTTTGTTTTGCCTTAAAGGAAAAGGGGTTTTTACGGTTTTTCCTAAGTTGACTTATCCTAAATTAAGTTCACCTCACTTTTAAAGAATTTGGGTATCCCCTTTGGAGGGAATTGTTTTTATTTCCCCCAATTTGTATTCAACCCCTTCAAAACCTTTTTTTGTTATATAAAATTTGTGTATTAAAATTTTTTTTTCTTTTCCCTTTTTACCCCTCTTGGGGGGCCCGTTTTAAAAAAAAAAAATTCAAAAAAATTTTAATCCCACTTTTTTGATTCAAACAGGGGCCCGAAAAAAAAAACTTTACCTCTTCACCCCTCAAATATTAAAAAGGTGCTTTACCAACTTTTAAACTTTTATGGAAATTCCCCCCCTTTTTTCACAACTGTACCTTCCATCTCCGAAATCCCCTGCCTTTCTAAACCCCTTCTAAAATAAAAACGTTATTATAAAAAAAAATTATTAAATATATATATAAAATTTTATATTTATAATTTTTTAAATTAAAGGCGGCGGTTGGGAATGGAAACCTTGTTAAAGGGGAAGTCTTTATATAGAATTTTATTTGAAATAAAATTTAAAAAAATAATTAAATCAAGAGGGAAAATAGGGTATTTTTTGGTATCTTAGAAAATGGACCAAATAAAACATAAAATATAAATCATAATTGAGGGGTAGAGGGGAGGCAAATGGTTGTCACGAGGGGATAAAAAATTTTTCAATAAATGGACCAAAAACGTCTTACGTTTAATAGGGGAATAACAAGGAAAAAGGGGCCCAAACTTTGGTGAACAGGGTAATTGGAAGGGGTTAGGGAAAGGTTATTTTTTTAAGAAAGGGGGTTGAAAGGAAAAAACAAGGGGCTCCCCTTTTAAAAGGGAGGGAAAACAGGGGAAAGGGTTTTATCTTTAATGGAGGGTTTAAATGGGGGAAAAGGAGACCTGCAAAAAACCCTTTTAAATCGAAAGGGGGAAAAAATAAAGATAATGAATGAAAGAAACCCGGATTTTCTTTCCTTTTTTCACTCCGTCCTTTTGGGGAAACCCATTGTTAAAAAAAAAAAAAAATGTACTTTTAATCCCAAAAACAGTTTTAGGAGGAAGGTGAAGTGTTGAAAAAATGATTTTTTTGGGGCCCTTTTTTTTACCCGCCTTCCCTGACCGACGCCAAAAAATTTTTAAAAAAAAAAAAAATTTATTTTTTTCCAGGCCGATTTAAACCGGTGGTCACGAAAAGGGAACTTTCACACCTTTCCCCTCCTTTGAAGGGTGCTCCCTCATTTTAAAAAACCAACATAACCCCCTTCAAAAGGGGCAGTAAACACCCAAAAAACTCAAAACCTCCTTTCTCCCTTCATAAAAATTTTAATCCTAAAAAATAAATTAAAAATATTAAAAATTTAAATTTTTTAAAAATTTTTTGTCTGCCAATACGAACCTTCCACGGCTTTAAAAGCAACTATGCAAAAGAAGCAATAATTTAAGATTTGCAAAAGCCCGCAATTTGAAAAGGAAAAAAACCCCAAATGTTTTTAATATTAAGTAAAAATCTAAATTATTTTAATTTTAAAAAAAAAGTTCGGGTAATGTTAGGTAAATTTTAGATGGTGAAAATTTTTTACAACATTTAAAATTTTCCTTTTATAGAAAAAAAATTTAGAAAGACTTTTTGAATGAAGTTTTGCATGACAGTTTTCCCTTCGACCCGAATATTTAAAACAACAAATTTTATTAAAAACATATATTAAATAAAAATTTATAATAATATTTAAACAAAAATATAATTTATAATACAAAAAATTTGGGGAAAAAAGAAGAAAAAAAACGTAAGTTGGATTGATTAATTGGGTTTACCAGGAATAAATTTATAAAGGATCTTCTAGAAAAATGCGGATTAAATGAAATTAAAATTTGGGGAAATTGATTAATTTATATTTATCAGGCAAAACCACTTTAAAGCACCTTTTTGGGGTGAAATTGGGTTGTAAAAGGGTTTTGGGGAAAAGGGATAAAAACCTAATTTTTGGGATTGGGTTTTTAAAACTGCCTGGAACTAAGGGGGGAAATGTCACTAGCACGTTAAAGCCCATACAATAAGTGTCAGGGGCCCGGACAGTTCAACTGCCTCCCAGCACACATAAGGGGATTCCACAGACCCCTGGCAGCCCTTTCAACCCTGCATGAAACAAGCAACTAAAGTCAGTTCCTAAATCAGCCGGCTGTGGCTCGTAGTTGGTTTGCGTGCAGCCAGTCAGCAACAGCCTGGTTGTATCAGGCGTGATCCACCAGGGGCGGTCACAAAACCGGGCCGCGGGGGCGTTGACCCCCGAAACTCTCTCCAGGTAAACTCCAGGTATGCAATAATTTCGCCAAAATCATTCTGAATCTAACGAAAAAACTATATTTCACTGTGTTTGTTTACTATTAAATTATTGTAAACAAATCTAAAATATATTTAGTTGGGTTAGGCAAAAATTAAATTGTTCTTGTTGTAATAAGGTTAGGTAAGTTTTCTAAGATTCTTTTGGTGCAAAATTATAAATTTTTACATCAACATTAATGAAAAAAATATATCTTTAAACGTATAAGAGAAAATTTTAGAAAGGACTTAATTTGAAATGAGTTCTTGCTAATTGACCAGTTTTACATATTCGGCACGACATTATATATATATATATATATATATATATAAAATAATTATATATAAAATATATATATTTTATATCACAAGGGATGTTTTGGATGGAGAGATAAAGATAGAAAACTATACGTATAGTTGTGATAGAATTAATAGGTCACAGGGAGGAGTAGGAATCTATGTAAAGGATACTTTCTGTTGCACAGAAGTGCTGAACTCTACGAATGATATAGTAGAAATGCTAGGCATTAAAGTTGAAATATATATAAAATATATATATATAAAATATTATATATATAAATATATATATACAGTATAATAATATATATATACAGTGGACCCCCGCATAACGATCACCTCCAAATGCGACCAATTATGTAAGTGTATTTATGTAAGTGCGTTTGTACGTGTATGTTTGGGGGTCTGAAATGGACTGATCTACTTCACAATATTCCTTATGGGAAAAAATTCGGTCAGTACTGGCACCTGAACATACTACTGGAATGAAAAAAGTTCGTTAACCGGGGGTCCACTGTATATATATATATATATATATATATATATATATATATAAAGAAGATCTACTTTTTTTTTACATACTTTCAAATGTTGAAAAATGTAGATCTACATTTGGACAGTTTAAGGGTTAAGAAAGGGTTACATTTTTTAAATGTCTAGTCTGCAGTACAGATGTGCAGGACATAAGCATCTTTAGTACTGTTCTTTATACAACTGCAAGTTGAACCACCAGAAATGCTAATTGTAAAGTTGACACCTCCTTTATTACCAATCTGTTACCAATGGAAGAAAATCCATCATAATTATTTTATTATATGATCAGCTGATTGCAAGCTCATGTCCTCCATTAACTAATGTTGTATGGTTCAAAATTACTAAAACTACATGCAAAACCTCGTAACTGTAAATAATTTAGCCTTAGATACAGGGTGAGTACAAATGATAGTATATTTTTTGAATATTTATGAAAAACTAATAATGTTTGGCAGAAATTAAGATTAATTTTCAAGCTTCCAAATTTCAATATGAGCTTTCTGTGTGGTCATGCAAATTTAATTCATGTCTAGCACAATGTGTAGATTTGTTTGGGTTACAAACAAATGCTTAACGAATGAACTCGACTGTTGCTGTACTAGTAGCAGGATGTCCTGAGCTTCTTCCTGTTCAGATGCATCCATTGTTAATTAAATTACCAACCATGAATTAAATGCCCATTTAGTGGATTTTTCTTTTATGCTTCTTTCTAAATTGTCACTGAATAGTGGTCACAGATTGTTTTGTGTAACACCCAGCCACACATGTTGATGTCAGTTAGCATCACTTTTCAGAAGCTAACAAATGTCAATAAAACTTTGAGTTTTTCTCTTTGTATCTTAATTGAAATCCTAGCATTGTTAGTTTTTCATAAAAAGTATTTAAAATCTGGAGGATCATTTGTAATCACCCTGTATTATATATGACACTGCACCATATGTTGAATATTAATATATCTTTGAGTAGTTGGTTAGCTGACTTGACATGACCTTTGCAAACTATGGCTCTTGTGTGATAAATAATGGGGTCACACACCAGGTCTTCATTGGTGAGGTTGCGACATGGGGTCACGGTGGGTTATAGTGTCTCTAGGTCATGGGGTCACTCACACTAGGTTATGGACACATATGGGTCATGATTGTGCATGGTATCACAAAGTCATGACCCCTCACAAGATCACACTCTCCAATAACATTGGATGATATTGGGTCATGGTCACACCATGTTGTCATACTGGGTCATCACTACACTATATCATGTGGTTATACTGGGTCATGACTATACCAGGTTATGGAGTCACATAGGTCATTTAGTCACCAGATCAAGGTGTCACAGTGGGCCATTAGGTCAGTCAAGACCATGGTCACACCAGATGAATGAGTGATGGGGTTACCACATCAGTGATAGGGAGACCTACATGATGATGGCAGTGACTTCCACTTACCGGTACAGCGGACGCAGCCAGCGATAGTGTCGTTGCAGCGGGGCCCAAGCTCGCCCTATCTGCCTCAGCTGCAGTGCGCTGTGTACTGGCCCGGCATGGCTGCCGCTCCCTACGTGAGTCGCACATAAGGCCACATCTCTCCGGGTTCCTCTTTTGCTGTCCACAAGGCACCACCACAACTCGGGACTCTAGATGCTGTCAGGACGGCTAGCACCTAGCATGGGGGTGGTTGCCATCAGTAGTTTATTTTAGAGTGGTATGGCTTGCATACTAAGGCTTGCTCCACATTTTCGCCTCGCCCATCATTCTTTTGGTTTACCATTAAATATTGTTAAAATTTTACTAATTTTTTTTAAACTTTTGGAATCAGTTCTGTTTTTATAATGTTGCCCAGTTTTATAAATTTTCTCATCTATTCATTGACCTGATTTTTAAATGTCAATTTTTTTTATTCTTCAACAAATACATGTAACATCCATTTTTACAATTAATTTTATCAAATTCATTCAGATTTACCCTAAAAATCTGATATATATGTACAGTACTGTATTTTCAAAAATACTTTTAGATTATAGCTTATGCTGTATGAGATACAGCAATCCAGCTGGCATACAGCATATTTTTAACCCTTTCAGTGGCCATTGCGTATAACTACATCATTAAGGCCAGGGTTCCTTTGCGTAGTACTACGTCATGAGCTCAGCTCATTCACATAAACTGTGTGTGGTAAATTTTGACCTAGATATGAGAAAATGGGTCTGAGCAGTGAATATGCACAGTATAAAAAAATCTATCCCCTACGCGGTGCATGATGAAAAAAGCAAAACTGACATTGTGTCTGGTTAAAAAATAGTGACATTGAGTTGTTTTCTAGGACTAGGTTGATTTTTATGGTTTTATTGGTTGTTTCTTAGTATCATTTGATATGATGACAGGCATACTACTGAAATAGAGATGAATTTGGTTGGTTTGAGGACTGAAAGTAACTTGAAGTTGGTCTCAATGTAGCAGAAATACATGTATTTGATTTTTGCCAATTTTTCTTAGGATGGGTAAGACCCCCTTACACCCCCAGTCTGTTTTATGGAGTTTTAATAGGTCTTATTCATTTATTGGGACACTGTAAACCATGACCAATTATTCTTGGTTATATTTTATTATCCGGGAAAGAAAGTAAATCTATTATTTTTGTTTAATTATGAATTTAAAATGAAAGGCAAGTGTAATATAGGAAGCCTGAGGACAAGATTAATGAACAGAGGGAATGTTTTAGTTCCAGGAATGTCTACGTTGCTTATTTTTCACTCAATTTTTAAACTGGTATTTTTTAATTTTGTGTATTTTTTAATTCTGTAGGATAGTTTGTAGGATAGTTTTAACAGTTGAATTGGTGGTTTCTTGTGCTCAATCAATAGAGCAGAAGGAATACTAGTAAAATATTTAGGAAGATAGTTGAATGGAGCAATGGAATTGACTTAAAATAGGACTCAGTGCAGTTGCCAGTGCATAAATTGCACTCAGATTGCTAGCTTTGCACATGCACAATTCCATCAATTGAACACTAAATTTCATACTTCTGGTATCAGTAACTTCAGAAAAAGATTCTCTGCCATTTCAGAAGAATTTTTTATTTTTTTACAAAGTAGACACTGGGAGCAATATTAATTTCAGGGTTAATAAAAAAAAATAATAAGAGTGAGTGCTAGGTTGAGGGAGCTGGAGCAAGACCTCTGTGAATAAGCCTGTGTTTAAGATGTATTATGTACTCTAAAATACACTGCTGCCTTCAGGTTAGGTACAGTAGTACCAAGCATGGTGGTGGTTGCCATCAGGACAAGTAGGAACAAGCATGGGGCTCGTTGCCATCACAACAACTAGTACCAAGCATGGGGCCTGGGCCCATACTCAGCCTAATTTGCTGCCCACTTTATAGTTAAACACCTAATAACTCACATTAGTTTACTTGAATCTAACTTTAATTTATATACGTATATGTATATATAACCTTTGCCTCTTGTCATTATCACTTGCACGCAACTGATCCTTGTGTGTTAAACTAGGATCTAACTTATATTCATTGTGCAACTCCTCAATAATTGACTGTCATACTCTTACTTTTTACAAATGACTATAGTCTGCACAGCTAGTGATCTCTGTTTGATGCTTACCAGTAGTGTGATTTGCATTACCATTAAAATTATTTATTTATTTTTTTGGTTTATTTATAAATTAATGGAATGAGACACACACACACACACACACTCACACTCTCACACTCACTCTCACTCACTCTCACTCTCACTCACTCTCACTCTCACTCACTCTCACTCACTCTCACTCACTCTCACTCACTCACTCTCACTCACTCTCCACTCACTCTCACTCACTCTCACTCTCACTCACTCTCACTCACTCACTCTCACTCACTCACTCTCACTCACTCTCACTCACTCACTCTCACTCACTCTCACTCACTCACTCTCACTCACTCACTCTCACTCACTCACTCCACCCCACTCACTCACTCACTCACTCACTCTCACTCACTCACTCACTCACTCTCTCTCCCTCTCTCTCTCTCTCTCTCTCTCTCTCCAATTGCAAAAAGGCAATCTCAGCAATATAAAATAAGCTACAGGGGAGGATGGAAAACATTAGCTTAAGGCATTTCACACTTTTGTGCTTCATCAGGGGTTCTATGCATTACTGCAAGACTTGCAACAGATAGGTTCATGGGAAAATTCACTCAAGAGGCAAGGTAGCACATCCCATATGACTCCAGTGGAATGGGCCAGTGTCAGCATATGCTACCTTTCCTTTGAGAGAATTTTCCCCTCAACCTATCTGTTGCAAGTCTTGCAATATTGCATAGTTCCTGACAAAGCACAAGAATGTGAAAAGGAAAGGCTTTGAGGTAACATTTTCCATCCTTCATGGCTTGTTTTTCATATGCACATGCATGCATGCACATATATACATTTGTGTATCTGTAGCTCAGCTTTTAATTTATTAATTTTACAAATTCACCTTTACTGACTTAGAGTATGTATACTGTATTACAGATTTCTCCTGGAGGACATTCATGGAAGGAACCTTTGCCGATGCCAACGCCACCACAGTTGTCTCCGCGAGAGCCTGGCGTAGCTTATATATATACTTATGGCAACACGAGTGGTCAGGGAGTTCAGCCTTTGGCCCCCCTTAACTATGTCAACGTCCCTGGACCACACTCAATTCCACCCAGTGAGGGAGCACCATCACCCACACCTTCATCACAGCTACAGGGACAGCCCATCATTTATCACTACTCTTACCATTATACTATTCAGCCAGGACAGCCACTACCAGATGGGGCACCACCACCACCAGGAGGGATAGTCTCAACTTCCCCTCCAGCACTTCAGATGGCACCAGCCAACCAGCAACCACCCACCTCTGCTCAACATAACCAATACATCCAGAAAAGTCACACTTCTACTACTACTACTACTCGATCAACTCAGCCAGGTCACCCTAGTCATCCTGGTCAACCTGGCCAGCCTGGTTATCCCAGTCAAGGTCAGCCTGTTTATCCTGGTCAACCAGGACAGCCTGGTTATCCTAGTCAGCCTGCTTATCCTGATCATCCTGGGCATTCTGTCAGTTCCGCCCAACCGACTCAACCACAGCCCAGTTCTTCCACCATTGTTAACTACAACATTCACTCCTCTACCACTCGTTCCACTAAAACTGTTAATCGCAATGACACGACCACGGTGGGTTATCCAGGTCATCCAGGATCTGATGGACTGTATGGTCCTGGAGGCCCTGGTGGGCCTGGTCATCCAGTTGATGATCATAGTTATCCAAGCAAACCACATGGACCAGGAAGTCTCAATGGTCCAAGCAGTCCTGGTGGGCCAGGTGGTACCACAGGACCATCTGGCCCTGGACAGCCTGGCCATCCTGATCATCCTGGCCATCCTGGTTCTTTATCCATCACTATCAACAAGACAACTACATCTCACATTACTCACCCTGGGAGTTACCCTGGAGCTCCTAGTGGTCTTGATGGCTCTGGTGATGTGCCTCCAGTTACATCCACACCATATTCAAGCCGTGGGCGCTCAGTGTCCCCGGAACCACGCTCTCCATCCAATCATACTCCTCAACATGTGACTTATGTTACGCACATAACAAGATCATCACATTCAGACTCACTGGATCGTGTAAGAAGGCCAAAGAATGAGACTCTTCCCTTCCCAGACACTTCTCCCATACGATCAACTGGAGAACACAAGATTCCACGTCGAGTAGATGATCTCATGAACTCTTTCTCTGATTCTGAGGTAAGATTTACCAGGATTAGTGTTTCTATAATCCTCATCAACTCATGACACCTCTCTGAAATTCTGTCTGAAAGTTTTTAACTTGTATTTTTCCCCTTTTCAGCATTACATTACAAGATTTGAGAATGATATGATCTTACGAAAATATTCCCCTATTCCAAGGAAAGTCGAGGTAATGATAGCTAGCAAAAATGAATATCCATTGTTAGATTCTTATTCATTGAGCTACTTAGTATATTATCTGATTAGTGCTGTCACTGTAAGTGGTCAGGCTTTAATGCTCTCAGTGATACTAACCATTAGCTAGTATTATTTATATTGTGTCTCAAAAATACAATGAAGGAAAGATTATAAAAAAATCACATTACTCTTTGACCTTTACTTGAAAATAAATCACCAGCAATTAAAATTCATTGAATGTCCTTCATTATATATTTGTAAAGTACACCTCAGTGAATGTCCTTCATTATACATACATATATAGCAGCTCATTGTTTTTAATTATTGTATACATAATTATATCATATATAATAGCATACTAAATCCACAAAGGAATATCACTGCACTTTAGAAGTTTGTATTATTAGTATTACATTCAAGAGGAGTCAAGGGGAAAGCACTAAACTAGTATGGGTCATACAGTATCTGGGGGAATGGAAGGCAATCAGATTCTATCCTGGGAAAGGGAGATCAGATCTAATTCCTTGGATTAAGAGCCCTTTACAAGTATCAAGGACATTCCTCTGAGAGGCATTGTACATGTGTCTGAATAAAGTTATTCTTTAGGCCATTTATAAACAAAGATGGGTGCTGAGAATCAGTGATATCCTTTCATCTCATATCAGTAAGCCTACTTGCTCCATATTATTTCAATTACATTATTATAATTGTGGGGAAGTGCTAAACCTAGAGGGGTTATACAGCACTTGGGGAGTGGGAGGTACAGTGACCCCCCTCACTTAACAGCCGAGAGGGACCATAAGAATGGTTTGTTAACGGAAACTGTGATAAGTGAATCTAATTTTTCCCAAAGGTCCCATGTTATAACTTGAGATGCAAACTATAGCAATAATTTTCTATGTGTAATTCATTTTTTATGTTAAGCAAATCTAATTTTCATATAAGTGCTTACACTAATTTCCAGTGCTGACTGAGACAGTAACAACATAATACAAAGTAAATAAATATTGAAAATACTGCCCTTTAAAAATAATGAATTTAAAAAAATAAGAACCTTACTCACCAAAGGTGGATCTATGGTTGAGACTAGACTCTCAACTTGTTAAAGTTACTGGTATACACTAAGAGTAGCTTCAGCTTGAAATCCCCAGCTGCATTGCCACCCAGAAGAAGAATTAGAATTAGTCTTTTTTTTGCTTCATTGAATCCTGGAGTCTCCTTGTCTTGAGATGAATGTTCTTTATGGCATATGCTTCCAGTAAGGCATAGTATAAATTTTTTTTAACACACTGGCCATCTCCACTGAGGCAGGGTGACCTGAAAAAAAAAACACTTTTACCAGCATTCATCAGGTTTTATACAAGGGAAGGACAGTTTCAATCCCTAGGATGAAGAACTTTTCATTAACATCAAGGGACTTCCTTGAAGGTATCTTCAGATACAGTATCTTTAGTAAATTTCTTTAAATCTCTCTCTCCAAAAAATGTTGAGATGGTTGTAATGTTTACATTGTAAGGTACATAGTCTAGTATCAGTCATGTGGTAAGATCAGATAAACTCTCTTTCAACCATCCACCCATAATCTAGCAGGACAGTCTTTTTCCACAGTCCAGCATATGTATTTTGTGAGTACTGTAGTGGGTGGAGGATCAAGCCTCTACCACTCCTGGAGTGCTGAATGGCTCCTGTGGCTTGGGGATTTTCTTTAATTAAAATAAAAATAATCTAGAGCTTTCTTCATACCCTCTTCAACCACCTTTTAGTATTGTTTCATTTTTTCTTCTACACTTACTCCATTCTTCACTAGTTCCATTTTCATTATTGTTACATGCCTGAAACTACCATAAATACTGCAGTCTATATGTTGTACAAACTGCACTTTGTACAGCATGTATTGAGCTTAAAGACTTTGATACTAGACATAGAATGTAATAACTAAAGGAATGATATAAGCATACTTTAACATGTTAAAAATGTCTGGTTTTATCTAATAAACATAATCATTTCAAGATATTCCTTGGATTATATAATTTCAAAAACATTAAATATAACTGTATGCAATAATGTTACACAAATAGTTAATTTTTAGTAAATTGGGTTAAGTTAATAACTGCTTACAATAAATATATGAAAGAGAATGGAATTCTTATACTTACTTTTTCCTGTTGCTGTAATTTTATTATCCCATACAAGAGAATATGTAACTTTTGTGTGACATAATGCAAAATATTTTTTGTAATAATATATGCCAGAGGGGAAGAGATAAAAAAATTTAACTAATTTTCCAGGATGGTCCTGTTGGTGGGCCCCCTGGCCGCTCTCCACACAGGAGAGACCCCGCTGATCATGAACCTCTGCTGCCCAATAACAACCAGGTAGATGGCATATCACAGCTTATAAAAACCACATCAGTTTTCATACTTCCCTGTTTACTTTATTGCTTACATTCATTCTATCAGTGTCCTGCAGATATTTCAGATCGAATGTTGCATGTCTGTACAGTTCTTACTAGGTGGCCTGATAAATACAGTAAAACTAACTACTATATCATGACAGACAGGGCCACAAAGAGCCATAACATTCCCTGTGAATAATTGTGGTACCCCAGTGCCCCACCTTCCCACTGTCAGTGTTGAAATAGCATATTTTAAGATATTTCAGTTATAGATCTCCACTTCACAAATTACTGTACTGCTAAACCTATTTCTTAGCATTAAATAAAAAAATTCTCTGAAGCCCCAGATAAAAATTCCCAATTCATGGTGGCCCAGGACTTGACAGATTTTATGTTGTCATACAGTTATGCGAGTGTGCAACATGCACACACCTACTTCTTGTGTGCAACATTAACTATATCTACTTCTTGTGTGCAACACTTAAGCCACCGGTGGCCTGGTGGCTAAAGCTCCTGCTTCACACATGGAGGGCCCGGGTTCGATTCCCAGTGGGTAGAAACATTTTGACATGTTTCCTTACACCTATTGTCCTGTTCACCTAGCAGCAAATAAGTACCTGGGTGTTAGTTGACTGGTGTGGGTCGCATCCTGGGGGACAAGCTTGAGGACCCCAATGGAAATAAGTTAGAGAGTCCTCGATGACGCACTGACTTTCTTGGGTTATCCTGGGTGGCTAACCCTCTTGGGTTAAAAATCCAAACGAAATCTTATCTTATCTTTTTAGTTTTTCTTCTGTCATCAGGTTTTTTCTTATGATGAGAAAGCTAGTTGACTTACATATGTACAGTACTTGGAGAACTCAAGTTATTGTGGTGTTCTATTCCACAGACTGTCTGACCTTCTTAAACTGTCAGTTTTACAATGCAGAAATAAACTTCACCCAAGTACCTGTATCACTATACGTGCTGTAAAAGATAATGCCAAACTTGACCCCTCAAAAGAAGTGGTTTGATGCCAGTTAGAGAGACCCTTGATCCAAGGAACTGTATTTATCATTCCCTTACCTGGATCAGTCTTGAAATTTTCCATTCCCAGGCAGTGATCATGTCGGAGGATCTCACCTTCAAGGACCATAACATTGTATCAATCGCATCTGCTAGAAAAATGACAGGATGGATAATGAGAACCTTCAAAACTAGGGATGCCAAACCCATGATGACACTCTTCAGGTCACTTGTTCTATCTAGCTGGAATATTACTGCATACTAACAGCACCTTTCAAGGCAGGTGAAATTGCTGACCTAGAAAATGTACAGAGAACCGTCACAGCACACATAACAGAGATAAAACACCTCAGTTACTGGGAGCGCTTGAAGTTCCTGAGCCTGTACTCCCTGGAATGCAGGCGGGAGAGATGCATGATTATATACACCTGGAAAATCCTAGAGGGACTAGTACCGAACTTGCACGCGAAAATCACTCGCAACGAAAGCAAAAGACTCGGCAGACGATGCAACATCCCCCCAATGAAAAGCAGGGGTGTCACTAACATGTGTCGAGACAATACAATAAGTGTCGGGCCCGAGACTGTTCAACTGCCTCCCAGCATACATAAGGGGGATTACCAATAGACCCCTGGCTGTCTTCAAGCAGGCACATGAGTATTAAAATTATTATAATCATAACCAAGCACTAAACCCATAAGGGTCATACAGTGCTGCATCAACGTGAGCAGAGCATTTCCTTCTGTTTAAATTAATCCCAACCTGAGGGAACTACATGGTTCCTCAGAGACTAAGCCCAATGTACCATAAGTTTCTCAGGTTACCTGTAAATCCATTAGGAAGGAAATTTTAATGTCTAATCAAGTGCTTGTCTCACTGCAGAAGTCTATACTTTAATACACACATTGTAGCCACGAACAAGTGGTGTTTAATTAATAACAACACCTCATCTAGCCGAAGAATTGGACCCGTGTTGTTTTAGCCCGCCTCATGGTGAGCGTCATGAATTTTTGCTCGCCATGAGGCAGGCTAAAACAACACAGGTTTTATTCTCCGGCTAGCTGCAGTATTGTTATTGGTTTAATTTTTTTTTTTTTTTTTCAACAAACCGGCCGTATCCCACCAAGGCAGGGTGGCCCAAAAAGAAAAACGAAAGTTTCTCTTTTTAAATTTAGTAATTTATACGGGAGAAGGGGTTACTAGCCCCTTGCTCCTGGCATTTTAGTCGCCTCTTACAACACGCATGGCTTACGGAGGAAGAATTCTGTTCCACTTCCCCATGGAGATAAGAGGAAATAAACAACAACAAGAACTAGAAAGAAAATAGAAGAAAACCCAGAGGGATGTGTATATATACATACATATATATGCTTGTACATGTATGTGTAGTGTGACCTAAGTTTAAGTAGAAGTAGCAAGACATACCTGAAATCTTGCATGTTTATGAGACAGAAAAAAAGGACACCAGCAATCCTACCATCATGTAAAACAATTACAGGCTTTCGTTTTACACTCACTTGGCAGGACGGTAGTACCTCCCTGGGCGGTTGCTGTCTACCAACCTACTACCTAGATATTGGTTTAATACACATATAATTTTCAACATAGATGTGATGCAGCAAGTTGCAGTGTATGGTGAAGTTAAATTTATAGTTACAGTTTTATCTGTATTGCAGTATAATATAAAATATTGACATTGTATGATAATGGTCAATAATAACCCACATGGAAACAGAAACTCAGAAGAATAATTGATATGCATATTTCGATCTCCTTCTGGGATCTTGAGCAGAAGAGGATCCCAGAAAGGGATCAAAATATACAGACCAATTATTCTTCTTAGATTCTGCCTCCGTGTGGGTTATTATTGAGCACTGACAAGTGTTCATTACACTTAAGTTATCCTTTGTATAAGTTTAGATGTAAGTGCCACAATACAGAGCATGTAATTTGGCCCACAGGTCGCAGTGAGGGCAGATGCAGATGCTAAAGCAGTTGCTGTGGCTGATGCGAATGCTAAGCGGGAGCTGACCAAAAACAAAGCTGGACCTCCCGTGTACTACCCTCCTGGCCATGAGCTCTTCCATGAAACCATGCATGTTAGTACTCTACACAATTAAAGAGAATTTTGTGCTCCTGAGTTATTACATGCCATTTGTATATAGAAGCACGACTTAATATTTTTCTGCAAAAATACGAATGCTAAATAATATTGTTCAACTCTTCCCGACAGTGACACATTGTTCTGATAATGTATAACATATATTTTACAGTGTATTCAGATTCATTCATAGAGAATATAACTTAATATTCTTAAACAGACTATGACACTGAAGGAGGGAGGCCGCCGAGGAAAGGCGAAATGGAGAATGGAGCGATCATCTGGCTATAAGGAGAGTTCTTCGTCTTCTGAGACAAAAGGAGGGATGACTATGGTGCCAGTGTGTCTTCCCCTCTGCTGTGGTGCTGCTTGTGTTATCATGTAATCACTGATAACTAGCTGCTTACAGAATCACACATTTTTTGACTAATATTAGTGCTTTAATGGAATTTTTGTTCTGATAATTCAGCATTGGGATTTGAATCTCATTTGTTTTGAAAATCAGGGGATGGAAATAGTAATGATATAAATTGTATATATATTATGAATAAGTCCTATACTATATTTGTAGCATTGTGACAACAGTGACATGAGGCATGGCCACAAGAGCCAAAGCTTTGCAGTTATTAGATAATGTTGAGGCAACGGTCTGGCATCTGCTCAGGGGACCCATTATCCATCGGGTGCCATGCGTAGCTTCCATGTCCTCTGTGCTTAATCTGTGACACTAGATGTAAGGTGATGTTGCTGTGTATTATAATTATATATATATATATATATATATATATATATAATATATATATATATTATATATATATATATATATTTATAATATATATAACCTAACTTTGTGCTGGAGAAATTATAAGAGATGTAACTATATGTAGAAATTCATAATCAAATTAATATACACATGGCTACAGTGAATCTGATACGTCATGATATCGTGTCAACAATAACTGGTATGCCAATTCTCTAACTTAGGATCAGTCATTGAAATCTTGATAGCAGTGTGTGTGCGTACAATATTTTTTTTGTAAATTTTTATTCTTAATTTGAAAACAATGTATGTTTAAAGTCTTGTATTTAACTAATATAAAGTCTTGTATTTAACTAATGTAACAAATATTATGTTTCACCCATATTGTCTAATCTACGGTTAATTGAGGAACATGTCTGCTTTTATAATTTTGATGTCTTTAGCAGCAGTATATTAATAATGTGGATACTACACAATATATTTGTCAGAAGGTATACTTTTTGAAATTTGTCCATTCAGTCACATTTTTTCATTCATCAAATATGATGTGAATGGCTCCAAAATCAATAGTTGAACTCTGAAGAAGAAGCATAGATTTGATGTTCCTGTTTGTAATGACATTAGCTCTAGTAGAGCTCTTGGGGATGAAATCCTGGAGTGGGAGTCTTGCCCCTCCCCATCTTTTTTTTTAACTAGACCTTATGTTTCTCATTAATCTATGCCTACACATCGCAGCCTGTTGATATTGGTGAATGAATTCCTGTCCACCCGAAGACTTTCATCTGGCAATATATTATCATGTGCCTTTCCTGGTACCTAGCAGTTTTCTCTGACTGATGATCCAGAATGTACACTGCAGCTTTATTATTCACAGCAGCTTAGTTCCAAGCCAATTAAAAAAATTCCCACTCCCAGGCCCCTGTTAACTAAGGTTGTTGTGGTGCTCGTCATATATGGCCTGTTTCTTTAATCCTGTGGCAGTTACTTGTGTTATATTTCATCAGAGGAATGGCAACCTATTGGATATAATATTTTAATTAAACCTCCAAATACATGAAGAGTTGCATAACATAAGACTTTGGTGTCACTTGATATAACATTCAGGCTAATAGTTTTAAGGCTGCCTTACCTTGCAGTTAATCCTAGTGACTGCACTTTTGCCTATACAGTCTCACGTATTGTTTACAAAGAAACGTTTCATTTGTTGATTGACCATTGTGTTTTAAGATGTGCTATGCTTGTAACTGTACAGTATTGAACCTTTTAGCGCTGGTGCTAAAAGTTTGCCATAAAATTGTTTGTTAGTTTTATTACTGATGATAAGGATGGCCTGATAAATTGTTGTAGAGATCACACAATTTTTTCACTAAGAGCTAAGGTGTTTTATCACCAAATAAGCAGTGATGACTGGAAAAGGATGTCTGCTGTAGATCCTTCATCCACCCACCCAGCTTTAGACAGCGAAGTGTTTTCTGAACAGACATACCCCATGATGGTCATAATTTTATTACATATATCCCCATTATGGGTTTCTTGATTTGTGTCATTTTCAGTTAACTGAAAAATAGATTTCAACTTAATTATTTGTTTATTTTATCCTATGCAATTTTGTTGTGTTAAATTGCATGACTTCTCTCTTACATTAGACATCTATTTAAGTTTACAGAGGAGAACTACACCTCTTGGTCCTGCTTCTTACCTTTCACTCCAAACCAACAGATACAGATACGAATGCCGGAAAAAAAATATCCCCCCAGTACCAACAATACCACCAGTCCGATTACATTCTCCTTTGCAAATATACAGGGTCTAAAGCCAGCAACAAACAACAAAATACCTTTCATCCGTGGACTGCTTGCAGAGGCAAAGGCAATGTTCGCGGCTTTCACTGAGACCCACATAAAGGATCACTTGGACAACGAAATATGGAATCCAGGTTACAACCTATACAGATGCGACAGAGGGAACGGGCAAAAGGGGGGGGGGGGGTTGGCTGTAAAAATTGCGAGTCACTTGTTTCCACAAACTGCTTAATGCCCAAATGATGTAGTGGAAGTTTTAGCAGTAAAGAATCGAGAACCAAAAACTGTCCATTGTGGTAGTCTACAACCCTCCGGATGCAACATCCCAGATTCCAGGGCCCAGCTGTTAAAAATTTGACCACGTTTTGGAAAATCTTCACTCCTGCCCCCAACATCTTTGTCCTGGGGATTTAACTTAAGGCACCAAAAATGGAGGAATATAGCAAAATAATATTGTTGCAGTAATAACACCAGGAGGCAGCATGGATGAAAACTCACACCACCGAGCTTTTAATCTCTGCACAAATTCAGTTTAAACAGCAAATAAAGAGCCTACAGACTGGGAATCACGCCTCATCTCACTAACAATGATGATCTGAACGAATGTCCCATTCAAAACATTACCAGTCACAACATAATTGAGTTCGACATGTTGCGTGAGCCCCAGACCGACATAATGAGATTAGTCACGAGGGAGCATTCGCCAAAATTAAACTTCAATAACAAAAAACATAAAGTGGGACCAAGTAAACCAAGTCCTAACCAATATAAGCTGGGAAGATATACTAAGCAACACAGACCCCCAACTTATGCCTAGAACAGATTAGCTCGGTGGCACTCGATGTATGCACAAGGATTATTCCTCTAAGAAAAAGGAGGAGTAGATGTTAAATAGAAAGAGACAGGCGCTCCCTTTACAGGCGACGGAAAAGAATAACAAAGCGGCTAAAAGAGGTCAATATATCTGAAATGCGTAGGGAGACACTGGTCAGAGAAATAGCAAGCATCGAACTTAAGCTAAAGGAATCTTACAGGAGTCAGGAATCGCGGGAAGAACTAAAAGCCATAAATGAAATCGAAAGAAACCCAAAGTATTTCTTCTCCTAATCTTTCTTTCCTCAGAACAAATCTGACTATTTTTCATTTCCCAGATCCTGTATGATGCCTATGAGTTTACCATTTTTTCATTTAAATACTGCGACTACTGTTAATACTGTACTGCTGCTATTACTATTGCTACTAATAATAATGTTTTCTTTGTCAGGCCAACCTACCTCTGTGGGAGATGGCCAGTTAAAAAAATTAATAATAATGATAATACCCTCAAGGGGGAGGGGGAATGCCTCGATGCTTATAAAGGGCTCTGTATTTAAGGACATGGCATTGCTTTTTCCTTCCTTGAAACAAACCTGATTACCATCCATTTCCCAGGTGCTGTATAACACTAATGGGTTTAACACTTCCCCATAGCCATGAATATAATAGTATGTACCTAGACAGCTAATGATGTGTTCTTGAAGACACCAGGCAGGTGCACCTGACATAATATATTGTATGACCCATGTGGCCGACTTCTAAACCGGGACAAACCAACGGATATCTCGTCCTGCTGGAATAAGAACCGTGTTGGTGTAGCAGGACATCGAACTGAGATAGTGAATGGAGGAAATAAGGAGCATCAATCACCCACAGTTAAGTAACCCTTCTAGTTATAACAAACTGATACTGACCAGTTAGGTGTGTTGTAATTCGATAGGTTGTGGGTGATCCAACTACATCAAGTGAATATCTGGTAAGTGGTGGGATTATATACAAGTGTTTTTCCTTGATGGATATATCTGTGGAAAATTTTATAGGGGTGATTACCTTTATGTACCTCAACATTATATACATACAAGTAATCTCATTGGGAGACAACCCTATATTGTTTACCATAGTCACCCCGTGTAGATATGTGAGAAAACTTCACCACCTCTGGTCGCTGGAGGTGGGCCTTCGACCTCACAATCTTATCCATATCTATCCGAGACCAGTATAGATTGGATAGCACCCACAAGTACGGCGCTACTAATTAAATTTTGGACCATAGTTATTTTGTGTAACTGAATGAAGGGGGGGGTAGGTTACACATGGATTTTCCATCAAAGAAAAAACTTGTACATAATTCACAATTACCAGATATTCTCTGGTGGTCACTTGATGTAGCTGGATCACTCATAACCTATCCAATTACAACATACCTAACTGGCCGTTCAGTCTGCTAAAAAACTAGAAGGTTACTTAACTGTGGGTGATTTGATACTCCTTTTTTCCTCCATTCACCATTCATTTCGATGTCCTGTCACCCGACACGGTTTTTTCCAGCAGGACGAGGTATCGTCGGTTTGTCCGGTTTAGAGTCGTGACTCCATAAAGCCTTCACTATCCTCGGGACAGGAACAACGGGGATAAACATGTGCACACACACTCTGGGAATGGCGGTTCATATCACTTCAACGATTCCTTAACTTAGTGTTATTATCACTGATTACATTACGATTTACAAGATGGTTTAATGTCTCATAATTATTATACACATTAGAGATCACTCCATTAAGATCTGAGACCGATGAGTGATGATTAAACCAAGGGTAATTTTCCCCGGGACACAGTCCATGGCGACGCGCCAGTCACCCGGTCCTACCCTTATTCACTCATTTTACCACTCTATTACGGTGGTCCCGTAAATCACGTTCCCTCACTCTCCCAGTTACGACACTTCCTATTATGAAATGAGGCCTATATTAATTAATCCTTAGGCCGCCGTGAACGCCAATTTCCTGGTTCCATGCTTTCCCAGCCTCCTCACTACATTCAAAACACTCCCACCTCCCCC